TCAACCAATGCCACCAACTCCAATACTATAAATCAAACACTAGGTTCCCCCCTCTAGTCAAAACAGAATTAATATTTAAAACACGGTGGTGCAGGCCACCTGGGAGGACATGAAAAGGAAATGAGTTTGCCATCCAGCGAATGCCGAGATAATGCACCCCGCCGGGAATGCAGGGCGCATGTGAGAATACAACCGGCTGACACGCACAAGAAGAAGGGAAAGCAAGATGGGCCGTGTTGTGTTGCTTAATGCCACCACCAAATAGGAGAGTTTGCTCAGCTAGATAGGCTGGCAGATATCTGCTGACTGCCGGTGTTATCATTTTTACTTGATGCTACACACAGCGTTGCGGCTGCTAAAAATAAAGCTATTTTCTCTCATTGATTGTACTGCCCGAGAGCTCTCACTCCACCCTGGTTATTACAGGAGTTACAATACAGAGCTCTCCCTTCTGCATCTCTTTTCCCATCTAATCCTCGGCACCATTAGTCTCCCAGCAAACATCATACACGAAAACATATTACAGCACAGGGGAAACAAAACCCCAGAAGCAAGGAACAAGACTGCTGTCTCGCTGTGCCATTATTCTGAGAGCCGGGGCACATTTTTAAGACAAGGCGTCTTAAATCCTCTCCATTTACATCTCTCAAAAGGAATTTAAAAAAATAAATAAATTAATGCGGCCCATAACCAAACGCAGACCTATTTAGGAGCCAGAGTAGACGATGGCTAGCACGACAGCCCGCTGAGAAATCCCGCACTATGATTTGGGGAAGCAGCTCGCCGGCTCTCGAGTTCAAGCTGAACAACAGGGACCTTCATTCAAGGAGGAAGAAAGCGCCTGGGACAGCTCAGGATGACAAACGCATCGGAGAGCCAGGAAGCCTAACGCAACGCAGCTTTTCCTTGCGAGATGCAGAACCACAGGCTCCGGGGCAGAAGCGGGTTTTGCTGGCAGCCTCCTTCAGAGGGTTTCTCAGCTGGGAGCTAGTCACAGACGTGCAACTACTTTGGGATCCACGGTCATGTCGATGGACTAAGGCCACCTAACTGCTGTCTGCCTAGGGAACCTGCGTCCCAGGGGCACTCACTCCTCATGTGAAGCCTGAGGGATTTGGGCTGAGCTCCCGAGTATGAACCCACAGAGCATCCTTCTGTCCACGAGGTTTCCACACACTGCTTAAATGAGGACCGTCTCTGGGCATTAATGCTTCACTGGAAAGCAAGTTTCTGCCAACCTTGCAGCACACAGCACAGGAAAGCAGTGCAGCAACCCTCACTACCCACGGGAGCCCGTAACTTCGTTTCTGGGGCCAGCTCCCAGGGGTGGATTCCCCGATGCATCTCGAGCAGCACCACAGTAGAGCTGGCTGGGCAGCTGACATGCAAATGTCACACTTTCCATTGGAAAAAGCCACTTTGCCAAAACCAAGCATTCCTGCAGGGAGGGGGCGGCTTTCATTAACATCCTGTTTCTAAAGAAAGCAATTAAAAGTTTCGCAACGGCATGACCATTCCTTTTGGGTCCCAACAGCTCATTTGGAAATCTGCGGTAGCGACAGCAATAAACAAAAGTGCAATCCAAGCGGTGCTTTCTGGAGCTTGCAAAACGGATCCGAGCGGCCTGACCTCAAGGGTTTTTTCAGATGGGGATTCTCAAAATGCAAAACTCCCTGGGGACGGAAGAACTGTCCCCCTCTCGGGTCTACAGTCGAACGGTTGCTGGGCACAGCAGGGTTCACAGTTTGTAGGTGCTAGAAGAAGCACATTTTAATCAGGCGGCTTTTCTGGGTCGCCTTCAGAAAAGGAAAACAGCACGTTGCCCTGTTTTTACTGAAAGCTCATGCTTGTGCTCCTGGCACTGCCAAGACACGGGTGTGAGGTCCCCTGACGCCATGCAGAAATTGCACCTCTCCACGTGGGGCACGAGGCACCTTGCCCAACAAGCCTGCAGGCAAAGCAAGGATGGGATTTTTGCTCGTGCTTTGTCAGGACAGGGACTAACAAACAGAAAACCTCCCGCAAGCCACATCCCAACACCAGTTGATGCCAACCTCCCATTTGTTACAGACGCTCCCTCCTACAAGAGGGGCCTAGGGCCATAAAACGAAGGGCGCTAAGCAGCTGAACTGCTAAACAAGTCAACCGAGGTGGGAGGGGAGAGCCAATTTATTAGGTGCACCAGTCTGCACTGCACAAACCGCTTGCCTGACAAAGGGCCTGCACTCCCCAGAAAGTCGACAGGAGTGGGGCACCCAGGTGGCTCTGCAACAGTTGGGAATGGGACTCGTGCCCCTCAAAGCGCTGTTTAACAAAACTGCCCTCTAGGTGCATTATTAACAGGGATGATCTTGATAGCAGAGCTGGGGATGGCTCCCGAGGGTGACCAAGTTAGCTTTGCTATCCACCCCCCCCCCCCCCCCCCCCCACAGCTTCAAGGTCCACGGACCAGTGGCTCTCAGCGATGATTATCTCCAGCCCCAAAACTCCCACGTGACTTACAGGAATAACCCAGGCTGTTTGGAAGCGTGCTCACTATTTTCTAAAGCCTGTTGACTTACGTGCATTGCACCTTTGGTATCCAATTTGAATTTGAATTCAGGGTTAATAGGCAATCAAGGAGGTTTGCCCCCGGTTCACAGACCAGTAGCCCATGCGTTTAGGCAGAGCTGGGGGCTTAGTCAGGATACTGATACTTAGTCAGGGTGAGGTGTTCTTGGCACATTTGTCTTTGTAAAGACTATTGCAGCGGTGGAGTTGGGGAGGAGAGCCAGGGGGATAGCCTCTGTTGTGTTGCAAAAACCCAATTTGCAATGCTTATCTGAGTTCCTAAGGCCTGTTCTTCCTAAAAGCAAGGTTGTACGTACATGCTAATTAATACAGTTTACATTGCTTCATTTGGACCGCCCCGGTCTGCATTAAACTTTAATCCTCATTCAATAAGGGAAGACCGTCTGTTTGCAGCTGGACCCCTTGGGTATCGTAAGCATGCGTCATATTTATCAAGTAATATGTCAGGCTTCCACCGGGTAGACAATGCTGCAAAATCATTTGAAATGACATACGATTGCTGAACGCCTGTGAGAATAATGAATGCTGAGTAACATGCCTCCTGTGCACCCAACCAGCAATGTTAACCAAATGTCATTTCCCCTCTGTCCAGAAGGATTCGAAACACTCATTGCCAATGAGAGGTAACGGCAGCAAATCTCCCCACTTCACTCAGCGGCATTAACCAAGCACCACCAGAACCCAGTCACGTGTGGGCAGTTCACGACCCAGGCGACACTTTGCCTGGGAAAGCTGAGGAACCACCCGTTCATCCCAGACACTCGCTAAATGTGGTCTGGCTTTGCGATGAAAAGCTCAAGCTTTCAGAGGCCCGAGGCGAGCTGCACATGCACCAGGCTGAGAAACCCGATAGGCGAGTCGAGTCGGATCGGCCAAACAGCTGCTCTGCGTTTGGTAGAAGTCTGGAGAAGTGGGACGCCGCAGATGCTTTGCTCCCTTCTGGGGAAAACGGGTGCAAAGCCCATCTGCTCTTCCTTAGCCCAGCCACAGGTCCCCTGGGGGTAGGGACGGCCCATCTGGACCTACTTTCCTCCGACTGCGGGAGGCAGGAAAGAGGTCCTACAGCTCCCCTCCAAGTTCTCCTGTGCAACAAAAGCAGTGAGGCCAATGCAACTGGGGTGACAGGCACTTTCCACCACAAGCGCTGGGAGAACTGAGCGCTCGGGATGCCCGCGGGGTCTGCCCCTCCAAAATGCAAGGTTGACAGGCAACCCCCTTGAGCAGAAAGGTGCTTGCTTTTACAGAGATCTGTGCATCTGCTTGTACGCACATGCTGCCTCCCCCCCGCATTCGTGCACGATTCCAGCACACCAGATATATCCTCAAATCCAAGTTAGGCCATGCAGTTCAGAGCCACAGCCCGTTTAAAAAATGCAGCATGGACTGAGGGGTTTGCTCAAGTCCTCCATTTCCCGCTCTCCCAAGCCACAAGCAAAGGAAGAAAATACTCCACAATTGATTGATATAGTGCTAAATCGCATCCCCAGGCACAGTCAAGTTCAGCACAGTTCAAGGTAGCGATCACTTGCACGTTACCATCCCATTTATTCTTCGCTGCATATTTTCAGCAGGAGGTGGTGAGTCAGCGGCTGTATGAGTCATATTTATGATACTGTGAGTCATCCCGCTCATCCTGGGTACCTCACTATGGGTCTGGGTAACCATTACAAGTTCTATTAGAAACCAAGAAAGGCACAAGCGACAGTATATATTTATGAGTTATTAAAGGACTAACGGGATCATTATGGAACATCCCGCTGGCACGCGCCAAATCTCCTTTACCGCCTTGAAAATCCAACCCATCTCACTCTCTGGTCTATGTTAATTAAATCTTCTTGTGCGCACATAATACACGAGGGTAGAGCAATGCAGAAAACAGCCTTCAAAGAGGGCCCTTCCTTTAGACATTAACGGATGCCTACTGGGCATTTATACACATGCTCGGGTGGGGGGAGAGGGCACTTTAATTCGAGTGGCTCCAAGGGCACCTGGACACATACACTGAGGCTGCTCCAGTGTAATTGCAATAACAACGCTCGGTGCCTGTTTCCACAAAAGTAAGGCCTGCAAAGTAGGGACTCCTTCGCCCGAGACCGCACAGTGAGTCAAGGTACAAGCACAGCACCCCGGCAGGCTCAGTAGGCCACCAATATCCCCTCCGCCAGCTCCAAAAGCGGCACTCCCGTGCGGGCTGGAGATAGGAACGGGCTAATACAGGAGACTCTCTCTGAGATCCTCTTTCTTAGAGAGAGGCACAAGCAATGCTGGTGGGAGACAGCCGTGACCGCAAAGGAATGGATGGTGTGGAAAGCGGCAAAGGAAGGATGGAGGGGAGGGAAAAGCCTGGCCAGGGCGCAGACATCCAAGCCCCAAGAGGACAAGTCTGCTCTGCCCACGCGCAGGCGGCGTATGTTCGCAAAGGCTCTCACCTCTCAACTCTCCCAAGTCCAACGTCTTCCCTAGCTGTTCGAGTAAGTCAGCCCGGGCTGCGTTCTTTTTGTGCTTTTTGCCATCGTAATGCTGCTGGGCCATCATGGGGTTGTTGAACCAGGCTGCGCAGAGCTGGCAGTATCTGTCCGAGTCTCTTCTCTGATGAGGCGAAGGGACGACGGGAGAACTGTCCACGTGCGGCTGCTTGAGCGAACTCAGCGTGGTTTCTGCAAAAGGAAACAAATCAGAAGTGACGCTCTCCCAAGCTAACCACTAATGTTAGGACAAGGCCAGACCTCAGAAGAGACGCAAGGAGGTGCTGGCAGCAGTTACAGCTTCTCATTACAAAGATTACCGCTCCGCACATTTAGAACGACGCCGCTTAAAAATCTGCCATCTGCCTTAAAAACCAAGTGCAAGCGTGCTTAGGCAGCATGATGCCACCACTCGGTTATCTGCCTCGCACCAGCTTGGAGAGAAAAGCCGGGTCTCATTGTGGCGAGGTGGCTTATCATTGCTATGGACCACTGCCCGGTCAAGCTCTCTTTTTTGCAAACCGTTCCTTGCATAAAAATTTGCTGGGGACGAACTACCAAAAAAAAATATATCAAAGCAGAGAGATGCTGCGCATTTAAAGCCAACCCTCTCTCCAAGTAGGAAGATGGTTACAGGTTTATAATCATCTCGTCATTTTTTGCTTCAGTGTGTTTGGACATGAAAAAAACAACAGCCCAGAGAACGCTGGAAGAAATTTAAAACATCATATATAACAAAGGTAACCAGGAGCCATCCCCTTCTCTAAACGTCTTAATGCGGTGTTGACTACTAGGTGCCTCTTCTTGCTCCCAGTGCTTTGCTGGGTCACCACCAGTTTACTCTTGCAAATGCAATCCCAATCCAAATGTTTCAAAAGAAAAATGGACTATTAGTCATCACAGACTAGGGCCTCAGCTTCTGATTGCCACAGCCTCTCCAGCGGATATTATAGCTGACACCGCCACAAGAGATTGTTTACAGTGGCAGAGAGGAAAATTGCAATAATATTGGGATACTGAAGCATGCCGTTATTGGCACTTAATTAGCGTACCTTGCTCATAAATTCCTTTTCACGTGGATTTTTTTTTAATTTTTTTTTTTAACGTCACCTTTTGAGATAAAATGTCTGCCGTCTACATGATTAACAAACCGTGCTCTCGGGAAAGACACTTCTTGGTGTAAGAACAGGAAAACGTGCAGCCTCTTGAAATCAGTTTGAGAGCACTCCTGATCAAAAGGCTTAGCCGAGCCCTAACGAGATCACGTGCGCCGATGATGAAACAACGTCATTATTTCGTTCTGCCAAGTGGGGCCGGAAGCAAAATAACGATAGATTTAGACGTATAATTATGACCTGAACCCCTTGTGCTCTTCCCCGTGCTTCGGGAGCATTAATATACGTTACAAATCTTCAGTTGACCTGCCTGCGAAAGATCTCTGTTAGCTCTCCTCCAGGACACTGTATCTCGCTTCTAAGGTTACCTACAACCAGGCTCCATTTCCAGGGTTTTCTAATGCCTATTGTTTTTGATGACAATGGCAAAGAGATCAGATTTTTGTTGCCCGAATTATTGTTGGCTCTGACACCGTTCTTCTGCTTCCAAAGCCTGGACCTGGGAGCAGCTTAGAGAAGAGATTTCCAGGCTGATACTCCAGATGCACCGGCAAGAACAAGACCCTCCAGAGGATTCACAAAATGAGCTCTCCTGGCCAAGAGTTAACAAAAGGACTGCAGATTTGACCCAAACATCGGGGACGCTGCGAGGGCACAGGATGTAGCATGGCTGAGGTCCGCCATGACCACAGCTGGCAGATGTGGCCCTTTTTTCCTCGCTCTCAAATAAAGGGAGCTGTTCTGCTGCTGACCCCGCTGCAAGCCCAGCGTGAAAAAGGAGCTTCGGGGCACAACTGTTGAGCACTCCCACCTCTGCGAACTGCCTCATCTAGCTAGCTGGGGGTCCAGTTTCTAGCGTTTTGCCCATGTTTTTCTATTTAGAGGCACTGCAGGACCAAAAAGCCTCTCGGTGCCTCTCCCGATCCACTTGCCTCCATTCGCTTCACTTGGCCCCAAGCTCGCAGTCAGTATATGACACCACCTTGTACCAGACCACATACACAGCAATTTGTTCTGTACATTTATTCCTAACACTTTATTCAATACTGAAATCATTCCAGCTCCGGTTTCACATACTCTGGTGTTTTCTGCCATGGAAATATAATAACTAACTCTTTCCTTTCTGCCGCTCACAAAAGGTTTTCATTAAGTAAAGAATAACCAAACCTGCTCTCTGAAAGAACCCACATGGAGCTGTCACTGGGTAGGAAAGCCCAGACTGTATTTTCCTCATCAAGTCACTGATCTGCCAACAAATAAAAGTATTCCCTCTAGAAGCATCAAGCGCCGGAGATGCTAACAAACCAAATACGACACCACCAAGCCCCTAAGCCCAAAAGGCAATGAAAACAATCCAGAATAATGGCAGGAAAATATTAAGTGGTCCTGTAATTAAAGGCTGGGCCCTGAAACGCACACCAGAGGGAAGAGCTACGGATGCAAAGCAAAGCAGGCACTGGTCTGGATGGGAGACCACTACGGCTGTCTGTGCAAGATCACGATTCCTCGGACGCCGCTCTCGGCATCGTGCTGCAATTGAAACCAGGTGTCCACGGGGAATGGGTCTCCATGGCAGATTGTCCTGCCCTCTGGATGCCTGGTGCACTGTGCAGGGAAATGACTCCCTGCACACACTTCTCTGCAATGGTGGGGTCCAGGTGCTTATTCCACTTCAGCCTGACTTTGGAGACGTGCCGGACGCCTCCACCCCACCGGCCTATTTCCATGCACTTAGAATTACGAGCGCGTTTGCCAGCTGCCGCTTTCTGTAAACGGAATCCAGGAAGAGAGGCTGCGTTTGCTCCCACCGCAAAACTGTGCTATTCAAAGGTCTTGCAGCGCTAAACTGCCCTCTTCCTATCTTTATACTTGACTGCTGAGATTATCTGCAATAAACATAGAGGCGCCTGGGCATCTGTCACCTTATAAATACAGCTATTTTTATGTCCCAGGATCCAGGAGTTACAGTGCCGTGGTATATTAGACATGCTGCTTGCAGAGGCCTCAGGCTATAAAGTTAAAAGGCACTGGCTCTCTGGGCCAGCTTTCTCTTGGTTTTTATGTTGGATGTTGTCTTGGAAGGGGACAAGGGTGGCCTAAGTTCATATAGCTAGTAGTGTCATTTGGATTTATAGCTGCTGCACACTAAAAAATGACGACTGTATTTGCTGCCTTTTGCTGCTCTGCTGGCTAAATGGAAGAGTGAACTCTAGGTTATACACCAAAGCCCAGCTCTCATCCACTTACATCGCCAATTAGCAATTTGTGCTGATCAAAACCAAATTCCTGGAGAGGACATCCCTTCAGCCTTGGTCTTCTCCACAAAGCGATTTGAACCCAAGCAAACGGAAAAGCAAAGGCTTCAAGCCAGCAACAGAAGCCCGTGTGCACGGAGAGTGCCTGCAACAAGCCACCAGGTCAAGCATCTTCCCATCCACACGCCTCCCTGTTCGCTGGGCACAGATGATGCTCAGGTGCAAGGCAGCGAAGAAACCATCCTCCTCTTAGTCACGCTACGTGTCTTACAACTACTGCCAGCAAGTGTTCAACCAACAATTGATGCAAAGCACCTACAGCATCTATTGGACTTCAAAATCCTCCTGCACAGAAAGAGATGACAGCCGACTTGGCTCCACGTGTAAAATGTACCTTTGCGGCATACAGGGTTTTCCCACCAAAAAGAGAACGGGGGTGGGGGTCACCCCCCGAGCAGCAGCACGAAAACGAACAGCCGAGCATGGTGCGCCGTCAGGTTTTATAAAATGTGCTCCTGAAATCCTAAGAGCCACGTGTGCCAGGTGTGGGGCTGACTCTCCTTCTGCTACTGTCAGAGCCTCAAGTAGCTTATGCTGGTCTGTCTTGCCTCTTTCGCCGGTGGAGGACGGAAGTGGGGAAGTGCTGCTTTTGCTGAAAACCGGAAACACTTTAGTAGGCTGGCGATGGACCGCTGCTCGACTTATTTCCCGCGCGCAAAGCCTTCTGTGTATAGGCATACTTAGCAGACAGTACGCATTCGTCACCATCAGGCTACAGGAGCTCAGTGTAACAATAAGACGACATTAATGCCTCCTTTCTACCATCCTGGAGGCTATTTTCGACTGCTCCGCAGACAGACGAACGCCCAGAGATGAGATGGGCGCAGGCCGCCGACCGGTTGCCGCCGCGTTCTGCAAATCGCTTTATTTCATCGCTTCCAACAAACCCGAAGCTGAGAACCGGCGCCAGGCGTCAGAGAAGAGACAAAGCCAAGCACCAAGGGAACTTGGCTTCTTGTGTTTCAGGCTGTTAAGAGCGAGCAGATTAATGTGTCCTCAAAAAAGTGGGTGCCTTTGACATCTTGGCATCTCGCTCGCCGGTGTCGCGTCTTACCCACCGAGGCAATGCAAGGCCTTGTACGGCAATTACCTAGTAGCTCGGGAATCATTGCTCTGGGGACACGGCGCTTCCCGAAGAGACGATTCATCATCAGCCAGGCTACTCTCCTGGTGCTCAAGTGCAATTCTCCACCTTCCTGAAAGGGTGTCAGCAGGTCCCCACACTTTGATAAATGAAGAGAGCAGCTCTTCTTCTACCCACAGTCCCCTGCTTTATAACTCGCACTGATGACTGCATTCAGCTTGACAGATGCTGGAGGTGACGGCGGAAATTAATCAAAACTGGCGGCGGCAAAGTCTCCGAGGGCCCCCGCCTCACCCCGCAAAAGCAGCATGTCACCGCCGCAATGACGCATCGCTTTTCCCATAGTGAAAAAGCTTCTCGGCGGATCCCGAGCAGCTCTGACAGAGAAGCTAGACAATCTAACACCTGCATTTTGTTCAGCTACAACAGAAAGGCACAAGTGGCACGTTTCTGAAAGGTATCGATCCCGAGCAGAGATTTCCTACGGTAACAAGCAAGCCAGAGAAGCAGCACTGCTTTGTGCAGAATAGACGGGAACGTATCTGCAAAATGTATCTGTCGTCTTCCTCCGGTGAGAGGACGGGGCCGCTGCGGGGTGACGAATGCTGTTCCAAGCCAGAGGGGAAGGCATCTAGATTGCCTGATAGCAGTATCTTGGTATGCCCTATTTCAGGGACAAAAGTGCTAAGACAAAGAGTATTAGATACGTAACCGTGCTGCTTTGCCCAAATCGGTCAGGGTACACATTATTCACAGTTTAGGATCCACATGACGTGCGCTGTGGTGATGAAGCAGGAGAGAGCTCAAACAAACAGCTGTGTGTACAGCATGGCAATGCACGAGCAGGTCTTTAATCTCTCTCGGGCTGCACAAGCGTGCAGAGAAGCAAGGACGCTTCCTCCCACGCCGGCTTGTTATTCGCCTGGGAAAGCATTCACATGAGCTAAGGTAGACTCTGATGGGTACGTCCATGCACGGGACGATGAACCTGGGCAGCAAGGTGAGCACGGACGGCGTAGGTGTCCATCTTCAATCTGAGCCTGTTCTGAACCAGGGGCCAGCTCTGAGATAGGGGCTCTTGAGGGGGAAGTCAAACCAAGCTCCTGGCTCCCTGCAATTTTGAACCTCTGCCAGGTAATTTCTGGGGGAGCACACCGGGTAGGGCTGGAGGTCTGGGCAATGTCCAAGGAGGCCCACAATTTTAGTAGAAGATGCTTTTAAAATGCAAGTGAAAAGCAAAATGCACTTGCAACACCAACTCTTCTACTAAAGAAAGACTCTCTCTCTCTCTCGGTTTCCCCTGCAGTTTCTGCTGCAGGCATTCGTCTTCATTTTCTCTCCTAAATTTATTTTTGCGACTGTGTGATTTCCAGAGCTGTTTCCCCCCTGCTTCCAGTGCCGAGAAGAGTGTGCCACTGCTTGCGAACGCCGCGACTCGGAGAAACACAGATGTATCGGATCATTTCTCTCCTCGCTTTAGCATACCAGACGAGCTGTGTAAATGCTAGAAACAGGTAGGTGCAAGAGTGCTAGCAGCTGATGGTATGACAAGCCTCAGGAGACCCGAGATGTTTTCGTGTGTCCATCCCACGCCATGCACTGGCTCCATCCCCTCTCTCTCTCTCCCCCCTAACCGGGCAGCCTAAGGGATTTCCTCAGGTCTCACGGCTGGAAGGACAAGGGGAGGCTTTTTAATGGGTTGGTCACTTCAATTCCTTGCCCTCCAAATGATCTGGGATTGGTAACCTGAGCGAGCACTCCTCGGCACACTTGTTCTGCGCTGCAGGTTTGCATCACCGAGGTGCACAGACTGAGTCATCGCAAAACAAACCGGGAGAAGCACCTGCCTGCATACAAATGAAGCACCATTACTGGGCTGACGAAGCCTGGCGTGCCTGAATTTTACTGCTTCAGCACGTGGGCGGCCATCTGAGAACAGTTGGTGTTTGAGGCCTGCCGTCACGTGGACCTCTCAGGCCTGGCTTTCAAAGCCGCCGAGCACCCGCGGCTCCGACTGGGGTCAGCGGGACCAGCAGACCCTCCGAGCCTCTCAAAATCAGCTCCATTACGCATATACTCTCAACGTTCGCGGGAGGAAGATGTTTCCACATGCTGTTTTCCCCTCTGCCTCGTTTGGCCATCCTGCTGGCCCGCGCTGTCCAGGCCGCGGGTAGCTTTCATCCGTTCCTTTTCGTGTTCCCCACGGAGCGGAGAGTCGAACGAGCATGATCCCAGCTGCACGTTTGCTTGTGGGGCGAGGCCGAGTTTGTGCCTGTTGAGTTCTCAGCGTCCTCTCCCGAGTCATTGAAAACTCGGATCATCTGCCGGGCTTTGGTACGGCAAAAGGGCCTGCTTCCCCTCCTCTGGAAAAGCAAGGAAGCATCACAAGCCAAGACACTGCCATGAAGGGGATGTTCTCCTCTGATAAGCGATCCTCATGCTAAGGACTATAACTGCTGAGCCCCAGCCTGCAGCTGGCGTGTTTTCAGGGAACCTGGAAGGACTTTGCCGTGGCTTTCATTGTGGCGCACAACCTGGGTGTGCTCCCTGAACGCTTGAGAGGTAGACTAGACAATTCCCCCATTGCACAAGTGTCATTGCTAAGGTCCCTGGAATACCAGGAGGGGCTGCATTTCGCAGCCACAGCAACAACTTGACAGCTAGAGATTAATATTAATTGTTCTAAGCTAGTGGTTAGCTTCTGAAGAGATTACATTATCATAATATTACATACCCGTTCCCTTTTTCCTTTTATTTCTCTCATAAATAAACTCCGACTATGACTCATCCTTAGAAGAGTTATGGGGAGAAAGCTGCGGGACTGTGGGGTGGGTGCCAGCCTTGGACGGCATCGAGCGGTGCCGTCTGGAGAAGGGAGCAGAATATCAAATCCCTGGACCAGCTGTGCCATCATCAGTCATTAGAGTCAGGGCTAGTGGATTGAGCCCTGGGCCTTCTCTGTGGCTGCCTGAATCTTTCATGAAGATGTAGAGGGCCTGCAGGGAGCCTCTTTGCAGTCTGTGGGAGAAAACTTTGTATTTATGGCCAGGACACAAGGGCAACTCACTCATCCTTGTCCCTACCCTCCACCAGCACACAGAGTCAGCCGATCTACATTTTTTTTTGTTTTT